CCAAATAGAGAGTGACAGCGGTCTTTCGAGGCAGGATCTTTCCTAAAGTGTGCAATACTTGTACTTGTATGGTCATGCAAATAAAGCTCGTTGTTGCATTGTTGTATCTGTCATGGCCAACAGACGGGAATGGGACAGACTTACAAAATCAGGGCGGGTGCGCCCGAAATATAGATAGATAGATAGACAGGAGATGAATGAATTGGGGAGGGGGTGAGGGGGCGAGGATTTTTTATATTTACTTATAAAGTCAGTTCTGTGTATTAAAATGTAGATCAGTTAATTATATTGACTCTACCATTTTCTTTTCAGTTGTGACGGTATATTCGCACATTCACGCCTTTTTAATAACAAGTATTTTTTAACGCCTGTTTAACCTCCGCTTTTTTAGGCCCTCTGTTTGGTCATACGCTTCTGTGAGGTTTTACAAGCGCGACGATTAAAATTCAGACGACTGAACGAGAAAGCCTGTAACGTCTTCACAGTGCTATTGTTCATATTAATGCTGGATTAACAATACTGACATACTGTCCAAGCTATCATCACACTGAGTCATGTATCATGCAGGTCGTTTGTTACCGGTTTCCTACGTTTCACAGCGCGAGGTAGAGCACGGCTACAAGAAAGTTTTTTCAAAGTATGCCTGCTTTATTTCCGCATCATAAACCTCCCTCTCTTTCGTGCTGACTCACGGTCACTGACGCATAGCTACGCAGCTTAACCTGAGATCGCGATACCTTACGATGTTGCAAAATACTGGATTGGTAATTAAAATGCGCCGAAAAATACCCAAAAATCTGCTAAAAGAAAGTAAAAATTCTGTAAAAACCTCAAATTAGTCAGCTGTTAAGTCACATTGTAGACTTTCAGCTCAACCGCTTAAAATAAAAGGAAATTTCGGTGCCCTTTCGCACGTGGGTCACGCAAGGCTGGGCATGACGACCTTTAATAAAATGAAAGCCACAGTTTCATACCCGTTGGCGTTCGAAAGAGTCGCATTACCGTTGCATTTCATGCAGTCAGTGGGCAAAACTAAAAGCGGGAAAACTTTTGAGAAGGAAAACTGGTGCAGCGCCGCGCTACCCATCACGGCGACGGTCTTTTTCTCCGTTTACCTAATTAACCTCCGTGTGTGTGAAGAACCTCACGTATATCATACTGTTGGACGTGTAGCTTGCCTAGGTCCTCGACTTAAATATTGCTCTCTAGCACTTCAGATATACAACAGAGACAAAAATCTAGCAATAAAACTTACCTCCGCTCGCCATTATAGTGAAGTATGTCGGACCGTTGCGAATTAATTATTACGTATATTAGTTCACGGGAAGTCGACACATTCCCGGTGGCTCCTTTGTCCGAGCACCCGATTTCCGGACTATTTAAAACCCCAAGGACAAATGATTAGCCTACTTAAATGGTGTTTTTTTTTTTACCGACTGGTATCTTCCAGATTACTCTTACTTGACTAGGCCCTGTAAAATAAATTTGATTTATAATTATGACCAGTATTTGGAGAAACCGGATTTTTAGTAACCAAAACCCTCTTGAAATATTCCAACGAGAGCCAAGCTGCCGTTGAATTTCCAGCATCATTATCAACCAAAAAAATAAGTGGTAATGAGGTGACAGATTCACTAGGCGCCCATGTTACAAGCTCCCCAAAATAAAGGCTTTTTCAAAGACTTTTACTTCAGAAACTCGCTCTCACGTTTATGCTCTGCCAAGTTAGAGGTGCAAAATGTAGCCTACCAGCGAAGAAAGACCGAGGAGCGGGATTTTCGGTTTTGCCCTCGCGAGAAATGGAACGAGAGCTCTTTCACTCGCGCCATTTGACTCCCGTTCCTCTCGTTCTTTGCTCCAAAATTGCACGGAATCGCTGGCGACGCAGGCTACTATTAATAGACAGAAAACAGTTAAAAAAAAAAATGCTCAAGCGGTGTTTTTATAACCAGCATTTATTGAGAAATTCTATATATATGTTCTATTCTCTGTCTAGTCTCTGATGGTAAAAAGTATTTAACCTCATTTCGCTCGCTGTAGTTTTGAGCGGTAGATCGAGAGGCTCCAGCACAAACTAGAAACTTGACAGAGGTAAAGTTTAATAGTCCAAGTTTGTCTTTCCAGTCTAAAATAATATAGCCTACATGGCCCGCCAAACAAATTTCATTGCATTGGTATGAAATGGCATTGGTAGGATTTTGCTTTCTTGCCCAGGATCGGTGTGCGGAAATTTTTTTTCCCGAGGTATTGCCTTGCAGTGGCAGAGCCAGTAGCCTGCGTGACAGGCTACAGAGCCAGGGGAGGGTCCCGGGGGTCCCAGGGCCCCCTTATTTTTAGACCAAACTGAGGCCCGAGGGGCTGGAAAAAAGGTTTTTTGAGACCGGGCTTCCCCTACCCCACCCCCTTACCTGAAGGTCTGAATCCGCCACTGTCCTTGCAAGTTTTGTTTCCTTTGAAACCAGTCGAAAGTTCACTTTAAAGGTCTTTAAATGATAAAGGCAAAATTTTATACCTACTTATCGTTGTATTTCATGCTGGTTCGTGATATGATAAATTAGAACACTAAACATAGAAGATTTGAAGATTAAAGTTTAATTTTCTGCGTTTACCTCGGTGCAACACATACTTACTGATCGATGTAAAATTTGCCTAGTATTCGCGTTAAATATTGTTCTCCAGTTCTCTGGATACACAAAAGAGGCAAACAGCCAACCAAAACACTTACTTNTAAACATAGAAGATTTGAAGATTAAAGTTTAATTTTCTGCGTTTACCTCGGTGCAACACATACTTACTGATCGATGTAAAATTTGCCTAGTATTCGCGTTAAATATTGTTCTCCAGTTCTCTGGATACACAAAAGAGGCAAACAGCCAACCAAAACACTTACCTTCATTATCTATTATAGTTAAGTGGGTCCGATTTCTAAATTGTTGCGAAACTATTATATGACTTATATAAGACCCCGGTAAGTCGACCGGATCCTGACAGTCGCACTGAGGCCCCAGTGAAGTCTTCAGGGTTTCTAGACTACGAGCGGTCCTTATTTTTCCTCGGGGATAGAAGAGCGAGGGAAACGCGAACGCGCGTGAAAACCTCCCCAAGCGAGAAGGGCGAGACGCGCGCTCGTGTTTCGCTCGCTCTACTAACCCTGAGGGAAATGAGGACTACTCGTAGTCTACCGGACTTCCGCATATTTGAATAATCGGTAGGCTGCCGCTTTTGTCCTCGCATCATTTTTGGCATTATTTAGCAATCCGAGCTAAATTATTAGCTTTCATCTACCGGCAGTGCTGGCATCATCTGGCCTTTTTGACAGCTACAAAATGAAAAAGTAAATAATTTCGTTTCGGAGGGGCGAGAGGGTGGGGGTGGATGGGTACATGTTCCGTCATTCCCCGGAGGGAGGAATAACGCTTCCCCCAAAAAACGCCTGCGTGGGAGGCTATGAAATAACCGTATCTGTAAATAGAAAACAAATTGGAAACAAGTAATCAGCATGGCCATGGCATAGCCTCTGCGTAAGAAATGCAAGTTCAGTTCACTTCTCTTCTTTGCTCTCATCCCAACTTTCTCTACGAACTCGCGCGGAAATGCTTGCCACGTAGGCTAAATTTCTAGAAGTCCTCGTTTTTCAGTCTCAATTTGCTAAGAAGTTCGGTCGTTGTGTAAATCCTTGCTTTCTCCTCAGGCGCTTCGTTTTTCCGCACTTTGCACGCAATAAAGCGCGGGTGCGAAGTGGTTAGTTCCAATAGTTGCCGGCCAGTCAGTTTAGCATTATGGTTTAACGTTGCTGTAAAATATATCCGTTTTCACTACGCGTGCCTTATTCTTCGGCCGCGGCACTAACTCTCAGCTTGGGTAGGGTAGACACCTTTGAACCCTGACCCAGTGTTCAGAGGACAAAATCTTTTCAGTTTGGTACTAATGTTTAAAGGGACAGGTTCTCGGTTCAGTGCAAGCCCATTTATCAAAATGCTGTTTCTCCACCGGGACATGCTGTATCGTCTATGCAAGCAATATGACTCATGTCATAATGTTGTCAAAGAACCAATCTGCACACTCCCCTGGCAGTCACTTGCACTTTTTCCAATTTATTATTAAACTTTTGAGCCAAAACATCGTATGCAAGTTAGTCATTTATTTCACTGATCAGGATTTATTTCTATGTACATCAGCGACTATTTCTCTACTATTACCGAACAATGCCGTAAGGCGATCCAGTGATTAAATTATCACCCAGATACAGCTCAGAAAAAGCGGTTCGTATCCATAACTAGCGTAGGCTCGATTACCAGCCGCTGTTCGGGAAATGAGTTCGTGCCCCTCCCCCGAATAGTAGGGACCTTACGAAATTACGACGGCGAAGGGAACGGCAACGTCAAAAAGCAATAGGTTTAGTTGGCAAAACAACAACTCTGCACGTGCATGAGGCTTTTTTGTACATTTCTCAGCCGTCCATGCAAAAACTACGACGTACACCGACCAAATTTTCAGTTTTTTAAGGACAAGAACGGCAAGGCGATAAATTCTACCTTCTCTGTCTGAACTCGGGTGTGGCCCCCTCTCTTCAGCTCCAACATAAATTCCCTTCTTTTAAGTAACCGGGCGACTTGGGATAATCGCGAAATGTTTTGAAAGGATGCGGAGTCTATTTTTCAAGGAGGTTTTCATGGAGGTCGCCGTTGTCGGATCGTAAGGTCCCTAGTCCCTTCTCAGGGGGGAGGGGAGGACCGAGAACCGACGGAAATCGAGCCCATGACTAGAGGTTCTTAATCATTTGTACAAAATCTCCAAATTAGAATAGATATGCTGTAGGCAGGAAGAGAGCAGCAGTCTGGACTGATGGTAGCTAATGCGGATTTTTTTCTCTTGAAGGTATATAATATACCTGTAAGTGGACACCTCTAAAACGGCGCTCGGGATAAATACATAGCTAGATGGGCCGTGTCTGGGTGATTACGTTACAAAGGGAAATACTCAAGACAGATTCGTCACCATTCCTTTTTTACTGAAGGACGAGAAGAGACTGGATATAAGTGTAACATAGCTAGTTTTTTTTTGTTTGCTTGTCTATAAAATCGCTTCACTTGCATCCAATCTTCTTTCGTTCTAGAAACAATAAAGGCCCGGGAGCGAGTCTGGATATTAACGCGACTACTCTATTGTTATTCTAAATAGTTACTGTAATTCATAAAAATATCATCTAAAATGCTTGGTAGTCTAAGCGACAAGTATACAGATGGTAATCGCCCAATTAAAAGCGTTCTGTAAAGCAACACTAACATTAACACTACATCTCGAGGGAAAGGACGGTCACGGACGGTGTTGGAAAGTTTTAGTGTCAAGCAAGAACACAATGATCAATTCGTTGATCTTATGGAAAACTGGTGACGACGAAATGTAGGTTGCTACAGAACATGATTAAAGCTGAAAATGGTTTTAAAATACGTTGTTACATAGAACTAAGACGATTGAAGGACTGGACGTAATTTTCTATTTACAACTTAAGAGCAGAATTTTGTACGACTTGGCACGAACTTAGAGTTTGAAAAAAAAAAAGGCGCGTGGATATCGAATCAACCGTAGGAATACAAAAATCGGTTTTCGTTCCAAAGTGAGTCGAGCCGTGAGGAATTGTTGAGACTCACAGTAGCTTAACGGTTACTACGTACAGCCACAGAGTTCGTTGGCTGACGGTGTTTCAGCCTTCGTTTGTGACCATGATAATAACTGACCTCTGTCTCGTTACTCTGGATAGGAATCACGACAATAAGGTTAGCAGCCTTGTTCGTGAAAGCCTCATGATTCAAATGGTGTCATGAACAAAGAGAAGTGAAAATGTTGACAATGTGGATGAAATAGTTTCTCTGTTTTTGCTTCTTTTGTCTAAACTTATTTTCCTGCATTTAGTACTTTATCTGTAAATTACATAAAACTCTGATAGCTTTTTTATCCATTAAAAACTTTGTTCCATGTTTACTTTTGTCACGCATTTAAGGAGGGTGGATCTCCATGGTCCGTCGATTCGTATCCGTCTAAAGGTCCACAAGGCATGCCTCGGCCCCCTCCGTTAAAGGCCCCTGTTAATAGAAACGACAAGGTGAGGGTCTATTTTCTTTTTTGGCCTATAGAAACAACAACCCATCAACCTAAAGAGAGCAGGGTAACTTTACTACGTTAATTGTTAAAAAACAGTTCTTTTTGAATGGTCGCGCTATAACGCTGCTTTTCAGGTTAAAGGCACAGTCAGAATCCAGTTTAACTGTAAATTTAGACAGGCCTTAAGGAAGAGTTTTCGTGTTGTCAAGACAGAAATCAACACTCGCCATTACAATATTCCTACAATGTTCGTTTTCAGGCAGTCGCGCCTGGACTTGATGACATTTCAAACAATCCATAAAAGTGTGCGGACCTCTTCGCAAAAAGACTTCTGTTTCATTAAAACCTTTAAAAATAACTTAAATGAAATTCACATATTCTAGCCAATGCCTTAAGATTCCTTTTCTGTCCCATCATTCTCTCTTTATGGAAATATCACCAACTCACCTCTTGAGGACCTTCTACCTCGTCGACCTCTTCCTCGAGCAGCAGCTGCTCCTGGGGTGTCGAATGGTTTGTCCACACCTGGTACAGCTCTCTTTTCAGGCGCCTCTTCTTCTACTTTTTCTTCTTCCCGCCTCTTGAGACAAGCTGCTTTTGGGTTCAAGTTTCGCTCTGTAAAGCCAAAATAAGCAAGTTAGAGAGTTAACTAAAAACACTTTCAAATCTTACTCGAGCTTTGATATACGTTTTCCCTACTTCACAATAAAAACAAACGACTTTTTCGCATAGCAGATACAAAAACAAACAAACGAACAAAAAAAAAAAAACAATGTAAATCATCGTCATCATCATCCCCTGCTTGTAGACGGACACCATAACAAAAGTCAAAAGCTCACCTCGCACTTGCGACTCCAAACTCGTGATAACTGACACTGCTTGGTGAAGAATGACAAGCTGTGGAAAAACAACATGTGTCAGTGTCATAAAAGAAGCACGGTAAAGGTGAAACAAGTACAAATCGTGAAATGAAAGGAACTGAAAGCGGCAATTTAGTGTCAGAAAGAAATGAAGAACGAACACATCACCCTGGATGTGGAGATGTAAGTAACTGTATAGAGATGTAACTGGGCGCCATGCATTCTACAAATTAACCCAGGGGAAACTGTCAGTATTGTACAACCCAAACCGAGTCATAACATCAGCGGATCGCAATAAGGGCAGACAATATCATAAACGAATCAGATAACGGAGAAAACGAAAACGCGATCTATCAAGTCAACACTGGTTTTGGTCTTGCGTTCACTGGTTGAAAACTTGTCAAGATATTTTTCGCTCAACCAAAAAACCAAGGCAGTCGCAAGATTACTATGAAAAGCGCTTTAAAACTCTGCATCTATCTGTCACTGACTCTGTATTTCGAGAAGAAATAACTTGTTGTACCCATTCACTAGAACCCTCTCTGGCAATGCTTTAGGTTGATACTATTTTTTTGTTCTCTTGCGATTTACAAAATGAATTTTAAATGTTCATCAAACGTTCATCGGAGGGCCACTTCAGAGCTTTACTATGTCAGAATCAGGGAGTTCTACTGAGTCCTCACGATCTTGGTCGCAGAAGCAAACAGTGCCACGGCAGAGATTAACAAGCTGCCTCAACAACTCTTGTTCATGAGACATCTACAACTGTCATTATAAGACCTGTTGAATTTTACCTTTGTTTGGGGTTTGTCGTTCTGTAAATGTAATTGACACATTCGGCCCAATTCTTTGAAGGCACCATTGATGTCTCGGACCCTCATCCTGTAATAAACAGTCATCATTGTTTGAGTTGTAGATAGCTAGCTCTGTATCTCACCTTAGTTTGTTTAGAATTAGCATTGCCTTTGTCACCCTGTAAATGCATCATACACATTCGTCCCAATTCTTTGAATGCTCCATTTATGTCTCGAACTCTCAACCTGTTAAGGCAAGGTGACACGACAAATGTCTACTAAGCTACAGAACAAGAATCAGGGCTCGAAGTTAACTTTTTAGTGCACTTGCAAAGTCGTGCTAGTAAGATTTGTTCCACTAGCAAACTGGTGAGACCACTAGCAAATTCTTTCCTTTTGTTTGGGAGACATGGATTACTCTACCTCGCAAACGCTTCCTAGTGGATATTTTTCTCACTCGCAAATTATCAAAAATCAATCGCACTTTGCGAGTTTGCGAGCGTTAATTTCGAGCCCTGAATTAGAATGAAATTGGACCTCAAGAAAATCATGGATTTCACTTTGACCCTTTACAGACAACTTCTTTTCATTCTAAGGAAGAAATTTGTAATATATAAAATAATATTTTTCCCGACATCGATATTCCCTCAATTCCACACGTCACTACTACCTTCTTTCTAATTCCGTCACAAGTCCTTAAGTTAAATTACAAGTAAAAGCACTCTGAATTTGTGGGATATAAAGTTCCTGGGCCCATTTGTTAAAAGGCCAAATATTACTAACCCGGAAATAAGATAATGCTGATTCGGGTTTCTTCAAGCCGAGCGGTAACGGGTCAAGTCGCCCGAAAGTCATCGCGTCCGAAGGATGTCGATTCAAGTAGCCCGAAATTTTAATAAAGAGTGTATGTAATATATCTCGTTCTGTAAGCGATAATGAGACAAAACAAGCGGGATAATTGTGTAAAAGTCTCGTTCTTTAGGCAATGATGCTATGGTGAGACGAAACAAGTGGGATGGATGTGTATCCTATCCCGTTCTTTTAACCTTGATGAAACGAAACAAGCACGTCAAAGGAGTAACATAAGATTTGATGAAACGAAACAAGCGGGATTAAGATGTTAGGATGTTGCTGAGCATGATAAAATTGCGGGCTACTTGGCTAAAAATTTCGGTCGACACGACATAACTCTGGTTTCGGGCGACAAAACTTTGGGCGAGATGACTTTCGGGCGACTTGACCGTAAAAACCAAGCCAAGTACTTGAAACTATTTACAACTCGACTGAATAAACTTGTATCGAAACGACCGATAACCTCCATTAGTTAGTGATATGAAAGAGAGGAAGTGGATCATTCTGTACCTTTCTCTGGCATTATTGGCATATCTTCTTTCTTGTTCTCGCACAACTCTGACTCTGCCCCCCTCTTCAATACCATCGTCTGTTAATTTATCGTCATCATCAAGGTCATCCACTACCAAGTCCCTGTTGTTTATATCCTCTCCAATATCCCCACTGCTCTTTACGTCTTGTTCGGATGATGATTTTTTGCTGCCTTTTGAGCCCTCGCCGGTGTCCATTTTAGAGCCATCTACAAGTAGATATACAATAGATTTTACCACTGCAATATACAACATTATTTTAGACTAAACTAGTCTTGTAATAGAAGAGTTAGTCAGGAAACGTTTTCTTCACTCTACATGTATATACAGTAAAAACCCTTCACTAACAACCTGATTTTTAAGAGTCTGTTAGACAAAAATTGGCCAGTTAGGCGCCCTCTATACAAGAACCAGTTAAGCCTAAAATTTGAAACAGGTTCTTATTTTCTAAAATCTTTTAGAAAATTCTGTACACTTAGGCAAATAAGTTAAGTCAACATTCAGCCTTATTAGTCCAGCTGCAATTCTAATGGTATACAAGTTTTACCTAAGAAATGACCTGAATACCACTAAATTCTCTTAGCTATGTAATGTATTTTTTTCTTCAGAAAATAAGAACATATTTACATGTGAGAACCCAAATAGCCTAAATCTGTGCTAATAGGCCAATTTCGAATTCCCAAAAACCCCCACTTTCATAATGAGGCCAAGAGCACGACCTTTCTTGTGGAAATGAGTCGTCTTATTTATACGAGACTAAAAAATCATTTTCATATCAAAGACTGAGCACCTAACCTCGTTTTGATACAGACGTTTGGGGGGGGGGGGAACTCGGAAATGGCCTATTACCTTACGGAAGGACCTGTTTATGCTAACTTGGGAAAATGCAGGTTGTTAGTTACGGGTTTTCACTGTACACTAATAAATTAATATTGAAAACAGATACCTCCCCTAGACAGATGTTGAGGTCCACTTTCATTCTCAAGCCAATCAACCAAACTGAATAAATTCTAAAGATTTAGGTTACAAACAGCACCACCTTCAAGTAAGTGCTTACCCACCCTCATAAACAGATTTGGCTATAACTGTTATAAAGTGCGAAGAGCCAATATTGTTGAGAGAAAAGTGAATTTTTTACGGCTTGTCGCAACAATAGAGGTAGAGTCAAAACACCTCGATACAAACACCAAAAGATTAAAATTAAGTATCCACATGACTGAGATGTCCTTATTAGAGATAAGAAATGTATAAAGCGGTATCCTAGGGAACAAGAGAGCTGACCATTACAGAGACGTGTATGTAAAGAGGGTTTGATTGTATCCTCAATTACTGAACTGAAATTTAAATTTTAAATGCCTTAAACCACGGCAAAACAACACAAGTACAAGGAAAAGTTCAAATATAGTGCATACATCTTGATTCGCTGGTCTCCGAGTTACTTGGGGACATTTGCGAGCCTGCTCCTCTACTTGATAAATTACTAGGAGATGTCATGCCATGGTCATCTTCCATTCCACTGTGACTCTAGAAAAAAAACACAAGTGATGAAAATAAATCAGCACAGTTATCTATCATTATGGCACATTTTTGTTTTCCTTTGTCAAACAGCAACCTATTTGCAGGTGCAATTCTTACAGATGTCTAAATTATAAATATTTCTATTTGGACAAAAGCTAATTAGCCTGAGTATCAGGCCTTCCTTAGTCGTTTTGATACAAGTTTATTCAGTCGAGGTGTAAATAGTTCCACATACTTGGCTTAAAAGAACAAAGAATATTCACCCAAAAAGTTTTTTCTTGTTCACGCACAAACTATATTCGAAGTGAAAGGAAATTTGTGCAGTTTCACTATTTGGGTTCGTAAGGACTGGTTTCCCTTAGGGGTTAGGGGAGAGGAGATTTTAAAGGGTGGAGGGAGAGGAAGGGGGAAGAGAGAGAGAGAGAAAAAGAGGGCTCTCATTTTGCTCTCTCCACTATTTGCTTCTCTCATCTCCTTTCCTCCAGAAAACCCTGATACTCAGGCCAACAGTGAACTAACCCTTTCTTTCTCATACTGAATGATGGAGTCTTGTGAGGTGATTTTAAATTGAGTCTGTGGATGAAATCCTATGGTATGACCATTCAAATGAAACCTCTTCAACAGTACTTTCACATGGTTTTACACATTTAGTATGTACCGGTAGTTCTAACTTTTGAGTCTGTGGACGAAATCGTATGGTGTGACCATTCGAATGAAACCTCTTGAGAACTACTCTCACATGGCACCATTTGTCTTTCAGAATTGTACAAAATGAAATTTCAAAATTTTCCTGAATTTTGACTTTGGCCACTTTAGGATGTGAGAGGGGTTAAAAGATTGGCTCACCATTTGCTCCATGGGTTGCACAACTGAAGGTACACTACTGCCCACAGATGTGGAATAGCTTACTCCTTGAACACCAGCACCACCTGCTGCTGCTGCTGCCGCTGCTGCTCCTGCACTCAGTAGGCTACTAGCTAAGCCAGGAGGGAGACTTCCTTCAGCATGGGTACGCAGAACATGAATAGCATCATCAAGCCTTTCCTCCATCCGACTTTGCTGTGGAGGACAATACTACAAGGAATTAATGGAAAGGAATTATATTTTGCAGTAATTTTGATTCTCTTCCACTAAGTAGGTCAGGCAACATATTTGCATTTAAGAATTCAAAAAAAGCTCCAAACACTATGCAATCAATTAATCTTTGTTGTAGACACTTGCAACTTCATCAAGATCACTCTTTACCCATTTATTAAAATGCTCTAGCAGAGAGCTACATCAACTGTAAACAGATAAGGAGCATCTACCTTCCCCTAAACTCCTTAGTGCTCAATTTGAATGAAAACAGTTATGTTGCTTACTAGAGAGTGTAGGTGGCTCTCATATGGAGGCGAGGTTGGTTGAGTTGTCCTTCCCCAGCTTGCAGAATGGCCTGAAGCTCCTGAACCAGCTGGAATGAAAATAACAAAACATTGATGTTGCCATGTACAACTTTTTGAGTAGACAGAGCACAAGGCATAACTCCACAGAAAACAACAGTTGTTTAAGTTCTTTAATCAATAGTGAAACAAAGCCAACAAGAACAACAACTAATGGAAACTGTTTCCAAATTGCAGCACTTGAAATCTCAGAGTGTAAGATGTGCACAGCATGATGACAACAATGTATGTTAAGACATTCTTGTACAATGAAAACATTAAAATGGTTCTTCTTGATGTGAGAGCACTGGAGGGTATCTAAGTAGACATTGGCTGGTAGCTGAATCCCTAGAACACATCCACACATGTTTATTGAGTCTTCGGTTGAAATCCTAGTGGTAACCATCAAACAGAATGCTCAAACAATACCAAGTCTTGCATGGTGTGTTGCTAACTACCTAAGCTAAAAAAGGTTGTGAATGAAATCTGTCTAGATGAGCGGTGGTATTACAGTAGAATCTTAACAACTCAAATTCCCTGCTAACTGGAACAAAATTTCCTTACCCTTGATCAAAATTTCACTGAAATTTACTTCAATAACTCGAATTCCTTGCTAACTCGAACTGTTTTTCTTATTTCCCTTCAGAGTTCAAGTTACCAGAGGTTCTACTGTACTTCTATTTGACTGTACCTGACAAGGGCCTCTCTGATACAGGTGCCAAAGGGGGAGGAGAAGCAACTGGTGTTGATGGGTTGGATGAGTATGATCCACCGTTATCTGTAGGGTAAATCTACAAAACAGTTTATTGTTAGATTAGAGAGATTAAGAGTCGAAAACGTCAGATTCAAGTTGAGAATTTCTCAGAATAGAAAATAAGCAGATAAAAACTGTGAAACTACTTATTTTTGTGTAGAAGTAATAAACAGTAAATGACAATTAAGGGGAAATTACTTAGGTCATGTGGTACAAATACGTGAATCCTAATCTCTCTATTGTTGTTTAGTAGTGCATTGCACAACACATTTAATGTAAGTGGGTCTGCTACTATCATCTACATGTTTATTAAGTGTCATGGCATAATTATTGACAACATAATTTTGATGTTTCACACTTAAGGCAAACGAAATTATTAAGCAGCTCTCCTGGGGAAAGTGGCAAGAGCTAGGACGTACTACTCATTTACTACTTATTTAATAGACGGCCACCCAACAAAGAAGTGACTGCAATACACATTTCAAAAATAATCTCATTTGTTAACCCTGGTAGCCAAATTGCAGACTAATTACATTAGTAAGTAATTATTACTTTAAAGCTTAAGCTCAAATGTAGGGTCAATGAGACTCCTTAACCCTTCAAGTCCCAATAGTGACCAACATCAATTTTCTCCTAATGATATCCATACATTGTCAACAGATGAGGTTATGAGAATTAATAAAATGATCACCTACAAGAAAATACTTTGATCTTTTATCAAATTCTCTCAACTAATTCTTTAAGGAAATGTATAGAGATCAGTTTGGAGAACTTGTATGCGGATATTGGGGCTTAAAGGGTTAATATGCATACTCTGACCCAACAGCCAGATGATGAGGATCAATTTAGGTTTTTGGGACACTGACCACCTACCCCTCCCCTACGCCAACATTAACACTTACTTGTCACTTAGGGCAAAATGTTGGCTTAGGGGAGGGGTAGTTAGGCAGTTTCCTAGAAACCTTGATTGATCAGAAGATGACCACTGTGTTTTTATTGGCTACCAAACTAGGCAAGGTGGGCCTATCTTGCCTGTTTTGGATTGCCTGCTTTGTTCCTGCAAGAAAAATAATTTATTTTGGCCATTTCATGAATTCTCTCACACTTACTGATGCTAAGGCTTTTCCTAGAGTGTCCCCTGTCTGTGAGCCAGACGTTGGTGCTCTGGAGCTGTGAGCAGCTACACATAAAAATAAATAATACAATAAAAACACAATTGAATGGTTCTTCTTAAATGACAGAACATACAATAAACAGTTTCATCAGGCTACACCTGTAGAGAATTAACTACTGACTATTGCAGATGGTTGATTTAGTTCACTATGCAGGCTACATTTACCTCACATAAACTTAGCTTAGCTATATTATTTTTCTTCTCAAAATAAGGACCTTTTTAAGAACCTGAATAGTGTAAATTTGTGCTAATTACTATTAATGTAAGAACCTGTTAAGGCTAACTTGGGAAAATGCAGGTTCTTACTTCCACATTTTTACTGTATAATGCTTACCCATGGGATCATTTCCATTTAGAGGGGGTGATACTGAAGAGTGTAGATATGGAGACGATGGTCCGTGGTGCATACCAGACTGTCTAAAGGAAGTCATTGGTGGTAATGTTGAAAGTCTGTCCATTGGCTCCCCATGGCCCAAGTGATGGTATCCCTGTGAAAAATTGAGAAGTTAGCAGGGAATTCAAGCTATCGCGGTGAATTTCAGTGAAATCTTGATGAAGGCAAAGAAAATTTAGTTCAAGTTAGCAGGGAATCCGAGTTATCTGGGTTCTGCTGTAGCTTTGTTGTTGCAGAAAAAATGCAGAAGTTCAATGTAAAGAGAAAACTAAGTTGTTGCTTTTTAAAGCAACAAGAAATTAAATTATAATCTAATCAATGTTCAGTGAGCGCTTTATCCATAACATGTGGAATAGTAATTTTTTATTGTTAAGTTCAGTTAGGGTAACATATAGTTTGAGCTTTGCAAATAACATTCTACATAAGAGAGGCTCTTTAGTGTTGGCATTTGTTACACAGAGTAATATGTACTGCTGTTAATGTCATTGTACACAAAATTAGTAAGAAAGAACATTCAAGTTTGGTTAAGGAAGTAACTGCAAGCTTATTGTATAAGACTGTTAAGTTTTGATTAACCCATGGCTATCATCCAAAGCATTATAAATGAAACACCAACCCAACACCCTTAACTACAACAGTGAGCTTTACATTCACCAAGTGTAATGGTTAGCACTTTGAAGCAACTTGAAAGAAGTCGTCAACACAGAGTTGACTGTTATACAACGTGTGTATATAACACCATAAATAAGTGCCCACCCTAGACTGGTGAATGGCTGAGCCCTTTGCAAAGGCTGAAACAGGAATACCACGTACATCACTCTAAAAGCAAACAAATAAACAAAACCCCTCACTAAAATCAATCCAAAAATCAACCCATCTTCAAAGAAAATGCAAAGACCAAACTGTGCACACAGTTAAGATACACGACGTACCATGCTATCTCTTGGGTGTGTGCCGTAAGCACTGCCATATGGCCCTGCTGAGCCTGAATAAGATCCTGGGCCAAGCTGACCTGCGTGCCCCCATGGATCAGGTGAACCATGATCTGTCCAGAGAAACAAAGGAGATTAACTCTTTAAGACCCAAGAGTGACCAAAGTCAATTTTCTCTCAACATTATCAACAGATAATCTAGAGAAAATATTGTGAGAATCAATGAAATGATCACCTGATGGGAAACGTTTTGATCAGCAAACAAATCCTCTCAGCCAATTCTTTAAGGAAATGTATGGAGATCACTCTGCAGAATTTGTATTTGGATATTGGGGCTTATTAAGGGTTAACATGTGAGAAATCTGTTTGTAATAACCAGAAAATACTATAACTAGGGTGACTGTAGTGGCCTCTTTATAACATTTCCAGTTGAAATAATCTTTCAGTCTAGTCAGAAGACTTCAGTCTGGCTGTTTTGTAATGTGGGTGTATTAAACTGATTACTGTAGAAATATTAACCGAATGATAATTGTTAGGAGGAAACACTGCATAGATATCAATCAAAAGGAGCCATTTCATATTTCCTTAACAATCATTTTAGTTATAAAATAACAATGGGAGAAGGACTAAGAAACCTTCCCTAGTTATGCAGTGGCTGATTAGCATAAACATAATTATTGTCAACATGTATGAGAAGACAAATAATTCCTACTTTATTTTCTACGTAAGAAAAACTCAAACGACAGAATCAGGATGAAAAGGTGTCTACAACATTGGTGTTGCCCACAGAGAAAGGGAGGTCAGTGGGTTTCGATCATCTCTCAAGACACAAAGTTCCTTTTTTAATGTCTGATTTTTCAGGGAAAATCGATTATTATTGATATACCACACAAACCTACTTCAATAAACATCAGAACAACGAATTAAACAAAAAGTAAACAAAAAAGGTGTAATACAGTTTAACAAACAATATATAACAATGTTCTGCATTATATTAGAAGGGCAACACTCAAAACACTTAAGGAATTCACGGAATCAGTAACTATCAGAAATTTCAGTCAAATATGCAATTAAGATTTTGATGGCAAGCCCTGAATGGAAAATGAAACTAACAAATGTTTATGCTGTCTGAAAATTCAAAAACTAAATCTGGGCAGAGTTAAGCTCCTTTTATATTAATGACAATCAAGACTTAAGTTAAAAAGCAGATCAAACAAAAGAAATGCAGAGCATCTTTGGTCAAGATGTTGGTTTGTCATTCTCATCTAGTGCATCAATAATCTATCAGCCAGATGCTACTACAACCAAACACAAAAGCAAAGGAACAACCGGCAGTCTCTATAATAAAAATGGTAGCCGCTATCTTGTTAGAATGCTCTAAACTTTTATCTGTACAATTATTTTGGAGTAACTGAGTCGGCTGCATGCATGAGTATTTCTCATACTTCTATAAGGCTATTCAAAATAATATTGACTGAGTATTATGCTTGTATAAAGAAACCAGAAATCCCGCATGAGAGGAAATTGGACTGAAAAAGGGTTTACGCTACACTCTTGATTTAAAACACACATTTGGCTGATGACAGAATAATGTTACTTCAGCTGGAAACCACAAATCAAGTGCTTAAGAGTATAAATGTATAAAACAGCCAGTGTACACCACACTTCTGAAAATGGCCTGCAATGAAAAAGTCATCATGTGCGTATTTAAGCCACTGCAGGTCTTCAACAGACTTGTAATCATTAATAGTCAGTTGAACAACACCATCTTTAACACATGTGCTATGTGTGACTTGACCATTTCAATCCAACAAGATGTTGAAGTGGCATCAAGGTTTGCATTGGTCCTCTCTTCTCATTTCTAGATCTTCAGCTTTATCCATTCATCACGAAGTGTACGTGGACAGCAGAGAAAACTTGAGTTACTTTATGATATTTGAAGGTATTTGAAAAAAACTGTTGTTTATGAAAGGACTTGCTATCAAGACCAGAGAGAGAAACCTCAGGTACGTAAACTAAACTTGCTCTAATTATTTCTTCAATAAATTTTGTTGTTTCATGTACCAAACTGCAATAATGAAGGCTACCTATGAGGCAGAAAAAAGAAAGTTCAATGCACACCAGAAAAGATATGTAGAAAGTAGATAGCAAGGAGAATCTTGTTCACGATGGAGGACAGCAGAACAAGCCACGAGATCCGTTAGTTGTAGCAAATTAAGATGATATAATCCCTTCTTACCCATGTAGTATGCATCAGCATATATTCCTCCTTTTGGAGAGTAATGAGATTGAGTTAGGGCATCTCCAGGATGAGGCATTATATCATCAGCGCCAGGCGAATAGACCTGAAAATACGAAGAAGAAAGTGTTTAATTTTAGCGCTCAAAAGAATGACAAAGATGCATTTTGAATGCCAAAGCATACAGAAAGATAAAACAAGATCAAGAGGTATATCAGGACAGGAATCACTTCTAAAAGCTGGCTTGTCAAAATACTCCCTAATATAACCCTCTTACATATTTATTGAGAACAATAATTGGGGAGCAAAAGCACATGCAAATTGTCTTTTCACAGGGGGTCACAGTAAAGTAACAGTTGTTTCAAGTTACTCAGCATATGGGATCAAGAAACCACTTTTAAAAGCTCTTGGAGGTTCTAAAATCTTCCCAAAGCTTATCTACATCCTGTTATGACTGATTTAGGATCAAAATCTTAGCTGAGAGAAATGACACAGGTAAAATTTAAGACCTTCTGTTTCATCTCTGAGGACACATCTTGAAGTCAAAGTGATGTGACATCCGTATAAATAAACCCAACATTCAAACAACACAGCTCAATAGAAATGCTTCAAATGCACTCAGAGATATCAGTAATACCTTTCCCCTGGCATGGTAAGGAAGTAAAGGCCTCTGGTGAGGATATGGATGTCTCCACATGGAAAAACCTTTTAGCAAATTCACTGCACTAAAAAACAGGCCAAGTATTGTCTGGCTTATTTAATCTGCTTCCTAACAGTGCCTCATGCGGGCAACATTAGGACTATAATCTAATTACTGTAAGATGATACTTTCATCCAAACAATGATCTTGGTTATGTTTTTTACCAATCACAAGCACTCAAGTTATAATTAGGCTATCATGTGACAAAAGGTGTCAACGATTCTTGCCAGAACCGGGCCTGTTCAGTTGTAATTTTATCTTGAAAGAGGAAACCACAATTTCTACAGTCAGGTGAAGAATTTGGCAGCCTTTTCTTTCTACTTTAACAGCTGTTTTAGACTTAAGACTTAACACAGACAATTNATTCAAACAACACAGCTCAATAGAAATGCTTCAAATGCACTCAGAGATATCAGTAATACCTTTCCCCTGGCATGGTAAGGAAGTAAAGGCCTCTGGTGAGGATATGGATGTCTCCACATGGAAAAACCTTTTAGCAAATTCACTGCACTAAAAAACAGGCCAAGTATTGTCTGGCTTATTTAATCTGCTTCCTAACAGTGCCTCATGCGGGCAACATTAGGACTATAATCTAATTACTGTAAGATGATACTTTCATCCAAACAATGATCTTGGTTATGTTTTTTACCAATCACAAGCACTCAAGTTATAATTAGGCTATCATGTGACAAAAGGTGTCAACGATTCTTGCCAGAACCGGGCCTGTTCAGTTGTAATTTTATCTTGAAAGAGGAAACCACAATTTCTACAGTCAGGTGAAGAATTTGGCAGCCTTTTCTTTCTACTTTAACAGCTGTTTTAGACTTAAGACTTAACACAGACAATTTTATGAAAAAAAGTCAACAATTCTTCCTCAATAGACCATACAAAGATAATGTCAATAAAGGAAATGCAGGTTGTGCAAGAGTTGGAATTTTTTGAGCTGCATGCTTTTAGTCCATCAGCAGCAACAGTAACGGCAATAACAATGACTTCTATATTTGTCAGTGTGTGCAGAAATTTTTGGAAAATGTATTTCAAAATATAAGCTCCATGCAAAAACAAGTTTTTATGTGACAATCAAGTATTACTTTATAAAGCATATTTTAAACATGGGTTTAAAATACTATTTACCATTGCAGTTAGGAGTTACAAGTAGGATAGGCGGCTAAGGGACCTTTGTGCAGTACAATTACAACCATTACCACTCCCCCCATATTCCATGTTTTGTATTCTTTTTGGTTTGTTAATTAAAGTTAATTTTTAACAGACACTGTCACACTGAAGTTGTATTGTTTTGTGGTTATGTTTAATCCAGGTGAGGGAATGTTTTTCCCTTTGTCTACTTATTTATCACATGTTGTCTGACTTCGAGAGAGAAAAACCCATTCTGGTTCGCAAATTACAGGTACTGTTCCCCCTCAAATTAGCACACACCAAATGATCAAGCGAAAACATCAAGAAAAAATGCTTGTGTTCAAGGCCGTAAAACACCTTGACACAATAACATTATGCCTAATGTTTCTTCTCTTTTCTCAGATTTCATTGTCGGTCTCAAACTAGCAATCAGAGCTGCATATGAAATTAATGGCCTGAACTGACTAGAAGATCAAGGTTAGTGTATTTTTCAACCTTGTACATTTGACTGTTAAATCACAAAATTAAAATGCATTTACTCACAGAAAGGGAGCTGTTGTTTTTGCTGGACTTATACTTTCTGCTTGATCCTCTCCCTAGAAACAAAGTAATTAAGAGAAAGAGAATATTTACAACGTCATTACAAAGGTCAGGGTTTGATTCCTGGTCTAGCCTGAAATTTTTCAGGTTTTTTTAATGGTTACTTTCATACAGTAAAAACCCGCATATAAGAACCTAGTGATTTAAGAACTTACAGGCTGAAATTTGGCATTCAAATACCCAAAAATATAAGAACCTGTTCAGCCTGGCAAAGAAAAATAGGTTCTTATACAAAAAAAATCACTCCAAGTTTGATGGTCAAAGTTCCGGATGTTAATTGTGTGAGAAACTTCTGACGAAAAGTTTTCGTGTATATGGTTTCTTTGATTTACATTTGTTTGGATTTTCACGAGAAAGATGTTTTCCATAAACCATTATGTATTAATAGTATGATATTTCTACCAGTGGTTACTTTACGACAATCTCTGAAAAATAAGAACCTATTAATAACCTAATAAGCCTGATTTGTGAAAAACTACCCTAAAATATAAGAACCTGTTCAGTCTGACCTCAAAAATTCTAGGTTCTTATATGTGGGTTTTTTACTGTATCTTTATCCACAGTTCAAAATATGATTCATTTCATATATTTTAATTCATGTCATTTCCACCATTGGGTATCGTATGAACTCGCAATGGCCTGCTCTTCAGTTGGCTTATAAGCTCAGTGAATAGAGCATTGCATCCAGTCATTGCAAAGGTCAGGGTTTGATTCTTGGTCAAGCTTGAATTTTATACAGGTTCTTTTTCAACTACTTAGGTTGTCAATTCAACTGCGAGAATCATTTCCACTTTCATATAAATCTTTATTTTTGCACAAAAAAAAAAATCCAAAACAAATTGAACTACCAACAAAACTGCTCTAAGATTTGTAATAACCTCCATAGTGCTACCATGTTCAGGTAGGCAACACTGAACACTGTATTCTGAGAGAACATGAGCTTACTGACAATGAATAGTCTGTACAAAAACCACGTGCTTGTAAAACAAAATCGCTCTTCGAGACAGTCATGTTGTGTGGTGACTTCTAATCAGCACGTGCACTTTTTGTCACTCTTTGTTACATGCTATAAGACTAAGTGCCTTGTAGCATGTAATTTGGCAGCCACAGGTAAAGTTAAAACTTTTACCGATACAGTTCTCAGACTATTGTAATTTGTTGCCAAGATTAAGCACGCAAATGTCGTAACAAAATTACCATAAGATAAAATTTTCAAAAGGCCAGTTGTTTTGAAATTCTGCAAATTTGTGACATTTTATTTTTAATAATTAATAACTGAATGTTTACATAGTAAAAGTGACAGATTCATGTTTGCATTTCCCCACATTCTGATTTTCTATGTTTAATTCCAGCAACTATTAAAAATTAATTACTAGTACAACTCAAGCAACACATAAAGCAATTACAAATGGATAGAAATAGAAAAGAAATTGTCAGTTTGGCTAAATCACCTCGAGAATTATCATAAGTCAAAACAGAGCACATTTCCTGTAATATGATATTTGAAAGACCTTTCCTTATGAACGCAGACACCTTTTTAAAATAACAGAGCATAACATCTTATTGAACCAATAAAATAGCTCTAAGAACAATCAGTATCAAATTCCACCTTGTCATAACAATGCTTTATAAAAGAGTTAAAAAAAAGGGGGATATAGCAGGTATGGAACTCAGTCCCTTGGCTTCAAAGGTTACATGTTACTGCATTGAGAACAATAGAAATGACCTTAAATTCATTCACTTATTCTAAAATACATTTATTGCACTTTAGGTGGGTTATTTGTTCCTAGTTATAGCTTCTTAAATAGTGCACAAAAAGCAAACAAATCGAACTACCAATAAAACTGCTCTTTGGTGTGTAATAACGTCCATAGTTACATATTGCTCTATGTTAAGATCTGTTTCACAGAATTTACACTTTCAAATACAAGTATTGGACTTTAGGTGGGTTATTTGCTCCTTGTTATAGCTTTCTTAAGTAGTGGATGAAAAGCCAGCTCAGTCAAGTGTATATTTAGCAGAGGAAAAATACAATGTGTAATTTTACCACTTTAAGCAGGAGATAATTTGTTCAGTTCAGTGTCTTACTGTTCAATTTTGGGCCATCAGTTTTATAAGATGTCTTCTTATGTCATTATAATCATTTCCCATGTCCTATGTGATCTTAGGTTTCTGCTTTTAAAACTCTGTACAGTTGTGACTTATGTGATCTCGAGCACATATCCCAACCCTCCAAGTTAAAGTTTTTACTTGGTTGCCATTTGGCAACCAACTCTTTTGGTTTAGGGAGACTTTTTTACAAATCAAGTTGCCAGCTCCAAAATTTTAGGCGCCATGGTAACCAAAATGGTTGCAACTCGTAGGGTTGTAGCCTTTAGCTATAATCAGCATGCATTCTTTTAATTAACATTCAGATTTGAGACTTTTTTTAGGATTTATCACTTTATAAAAGTGACTGCAATGATCGAGTGCTTACCAGTATGGATGGTCATCTTGGGTTTCACATGTACCCAGGAGGCAGGCATTGGGGTTTATAGCAGTAGGGGGATGGAGGCAAGAAAATAGAGGGACTGTCCTAACATTACTGCTTCTCATGTTCAAGGAGCGCATTGTTCCAGCAATGCAGGCATCTGATTGATCACTAGACNAGGAGGCAGGCATTGGGGTTTATAGCAGTAGGGGGATGGAGGCAAGAAAATAGAGGGACTGTCCTAACATTACTGCTTCTCATGTTCAAGGAGCGCATTGTTCCAGCAATGCAGGCATCTGATTGATCACTAGACAATAGATGTTAATTTGTACTGACAACTGGTTTAGTTTTTAAAGTTTGCAGGAATGACAAGTCATTGATTAGTTGTCATTTCTAAAAATGCTTTCATAAATTAACCTGTTCACCTGACTTTAGTGTTATTTTGGATCTTCATCATTTTGGGTGGAAGAAACTGGGGAAGGAATTTATTTCAGATTGGCATGAAGTAGGGCAGACTCTTCTTTGACATTTGATGGAGGAGAGATGAAATAAAGCCATTTGGCTGTTTTAAATGCCAATAATTGCTACTTTCCTAGCATTACCCGAGTTTTGGAATTTTGAGGAACAACCACTTAAGCCAAGTAGCCTGTTGGGGAGTTTTGAATAAAGACATACAGAGTATCTGCAAAATGAATTGAAATTATTGCTACAAAGACGCAGAAAGACAACCCCTGTCAAAAATTTCTGGCTTTTGTATCCGGAGGTTTTAATAACTGTTTTACAGTTAAGTGGAACCCCAATATACAGTCACCAATGGACCAAAAAAATTTGGCCGTATTAACAAGGTTTTTTCTACAAGAAAATGCATGGCGATTTTTGCCAGGTGGCCAAAAAAGTGGCTGTAATATTGAGGTGACCGTATTACTGAGGTGGCCATAAGGCGGGGTTCCACTGTAATTGGTGTTGAAGCAATTATGCTCGCTGCTTCGATTGGGAAAATGTTTCAACAGTACATGTTTGCTAATTTTAATCAGAAGAATGTTCCAGTAACTATTTATATAAAAAACCCTGTTTCTAAATTGGGTAGGAGATGTTTGTAACATGCTAAATGATCCTAAATGTGTCTGGCACAGTTTTCATTGAAAGCAGAGTTTGTTAAATAATAAAATGGTAAATGGCGTGAAATCCCTCTCATGCCCCCTGAATGTAAGCTGCAGTGATGTTAGGACAGCCCCTCTATTTTTTTCGCCTCCTCTCAAACCATGCCCCACCCCCGTAAGTAGATTTGACGATCATCCAAGATGGCCACCCATAAGATTAAGGCAGACTGTTCAATCTCAATGATCTTACAGAAAAGTAAGGGACCGTGAACAGTCTAAAATTACATGATCTAACTGTCACTTTTCAAAGCTCTATTAAGGGGGCCAACCATTTTACTTCTGAGGGGGCGAGGGGACCGGGTGATTCTGGGAAAAATATCCTGCAAGTGAATATGTGTGTAAGAGAAAATTGATCACAAGTCACGTGTGATATATAAATCCACGTGTGTATAGTGGGATGGAAAAAATTCTGGGAAGATACTCCCTGGGTTGACCCCATAAACTTTATTTCCCTACTGTTGTCATAAAAAGACTTTGTATCTAATACTTGGGTGAGAGGGATTCATAGCATAATGATAAGTCCCCATCACTGGTGGTAACCAGTCTTGGTTAGGGACCATGGAGCCTTAGGGCTTATTGGGTTATAGCCCCAATATAAATACAGGAGAACTTAGCCTACACAAGAACTTAAAGGAGCTGTCAGCCAAACACTATGCTATTTGTAAACGAGAACTCAACAGGTGTTCACCGACGGAAAATCCAAAATATTGGCTTGACCCCAGATGTCACTTTAATATCTACTGGGGCATTAGTTTTCATGATCACCTCTTGCATTTGCAAATCATGAGGTTCATGGGGGTAGGGATCTCCCCCTGCTCCAAATATGGCACTGTCTAAACATACAGTACAGCTAATTTGAAGAGAAAGTAAGAGTATGTGTAGTTCGGGGGAGTCCTTTAGCTTTTTTCCCGTAATTCAACATAAAGTTTTGCTCTTTATGTTCATTAGACTTTTTTACTTGTCACAACCAAGGTGCCTATTGGCATATCAGTGCTGAATTTAGCTTTGTGTAACATAGTTGTGCAGGACAAAATCAGAGAGTATAACCGCGTATAAGAGGTCCTGACCTTCCTGCTTTAACATTAAGCACCATACATACACATATTCTAACAAAAACAATATGAAAAAAAAAATGGAAAAAAAAAAAAGGCATCCACTTCACATTGTATGGTATATGTGCATGAATTCAGCAAATGTGTTTTTAAAATACTTTGTAAATTGGTTAATTCAAATTAACCAATCATTTTTGTATTCCTTAAATTGAGCAATTCACTCTGAGACCTTTTAGTTTTTAAACATATTAAACCATATAACCCCTGATGAAAAGTGAATAATAAACTGCTGTACTTTCTTTCACAACTACTTA